ATAGATCACAATCATTGTTCTTATTGTTGTGATGCTTTCAGACAGGAGAAACAACAAAACAGCTTTAGAGTCTCTACAAACTCCACAGTGAATTTTAGAAGACATGACCCTATAAACACAACTCCAGTGTTTCAAGCAGGTGATCCCTTTCTAACTTCTAAACCTCTAGGCATCAAGAAACCCATTTCTTCTTCCCCTGTAATACACTCACTTCTCTGATGGTCTCTGGTGCTCAGGAGGGAAACAACAGATTATTATTTATTCTGCTCAGGAGCCAACAAGGAGGCCTTTGGTAGGAGTGGAAGAAGGGGCAGAGTTCTGGGTTGGGAGGACAGTGATGTGGCTGTGTCTCTGCCCACCACCTCCCTCCATTCTGGAAGGGGCAGGCTGAGAAAGAGGAAGGACAAAGTGTGCACAGGAAGCAGGAAAGCAGCATCTCACTATGCTGACCACCCAGTCAGCCTCAGCACAGGGAGAAATTACAGCAGAGTAAGGAAAACTAAAAGCAGTGAAAATTAATTTAAAAAGTTGAGAATCAAATGCATTTTTGCAAGAGCCTTAGCTGACTATAACTACTTATCATCAAAATGTGAGGCTAAGACATTTTAATTTTTTCCAAGGTAAGGTTCTCAGGGAACATTTACCTTTATTCTCTCTCCTGCATAATACAAATTACATTCCCCTTTTACTGAAAGAGAGAAGTGACTTCATGTGAACTGCATGTGAGAACATACAGGAAAACCTTTCAGAAAAAAAAAGGGAGAAAGAAAAGAAAAGAGGATGAGCAAAGTGTATTCTTTATACAGGAACATTTCTAAATTCAACCACATACTACTTTGGTCCTGTCTACACTAGAGAAAAGCACCACGTTAAAAGAAGTGAGAACTGACATGTCTTAAAACAAGGAGAACAGTGTGAAAACACAGTATTGCCCTGAGGGAGGAGTGACAACAGCTGGGTTATTTTAGAACATGCTGGCTCCTAGTGGTTAACTGTGAGGTGTGTCCTGCAGAAAATCACTAGTTCTGTTTGTCACATCCCACACACCTCTCCACACAGGTATCAGTTATCCCAGAGTTGTTTCAAATTAACTGCTGCAGTGTAAGCAGGGTGTAAGGCACACACAGAACAGCACACAGACATTTATGTTCTGGCTGTTCATTTTACAAACACACCTCACCTCGCTATCCTTTCTGTCTTCCCTTTGAATAGAGCAGTAACATTTACGCTTTTCTTTTTGGAAGACGTGTATGGAGATGCAATATCCTCCAGAGCAGAAAGTTCTCCCATTTTCTACTTGTGACCATTACTGGTAATGGCTTCTTGCCTGTGATTTTTTGTTTTATTTCTCTATAGGTATTGTGTTATCATGAGACTTGTATGTCCTGGAATATCCCTGAGGCCAAAATTTTAAGACAATTTAGAAGTCTGACCACAATTTAAAGGTCTTTTTTACCTGCAATACTAGATCTGTTTACTATTCAGAGCAACTATTTATGTGGTTTAAGAAACAAAGGAACTGTGAAACAGAAAAAAGCTAGACATTTTCTCATCACAAGGACAGCTATTCACTCAAAGCCATTTTGGCATTCCTCCACCAGAGGTATTCCCTGCTCAGCTTCACCAATACAAAGCCTCTGCCAGGACAGTCAGCCAGGTTGGCCTGAATGTTTCTCAGTGCAATGCTGAGAAAATTTAGCAACTATTACTGGGCACACAGCTGAACTGAACATGTTAAAAAGAGAAAAAACTCGACATGATTTACTTGAACATCTTCCTCACTTTGGTTTAGGTTTCCTTTGTGTGTGCCTCATTCAACCTCGGGCTTTACTGCCTGCCTATTTTCTGTTACAAATGAAAACAGTTATCAGATTTTATTGTTAAAACCAGTGTGAGGCATTGTTAACAACCACTGGTGCATCTTATACACAGTGTGCTGTACTACTATGATTTCTCAAGAAAAATCAAGTAGGGTGAGAGGAACTGGGAGGATGGAGGCAGAACAATTATGTATCAACATTAGGTTATTCAGTCAGTATTTTCTGTCTCCAGGAACAACTTCCCACCACAAAACACTTCCCCTGCATAGTTCTGTCAGTGTTTGATGCAGCAAGGCTGAACCACACAGGGAGCTGAAAGAGCAATCGATAGCACTGCTTGCTGCACCTGGCCAACATGAAGCTCTCCAGAACAGCTGAGGATCTCACAGGCTCCTCAGGGATCTTGTTGATGGAAGAAAGCCAGGACAACTTTGGGGGAAAAGGGAAAAAAGGAGTTATCAGATCATAATTAATCAGGCTGGAGATATGAGCTAGAGATAGCTTCCAACTTCTTAGCAGTGTTTCCACCCTTAAAGTTTCCCAAGAAAAAAACTGAGAAATTGAAACCTGTGAGAGAATACAAAACTAAAATTGCACTGCCACAGGGTTATGTTACGGGAAATGTGTGCACCTTCTCTTCAGTATGTGAATCTTTGAAACTCACTGTGCCATTTTAAACACAGTCTTTCTATTACAATCACTCCAGAAAAACTGCATCACTGAACTGGCAACTGCATGGCAACTAAAACTGCAGAAACAACAGGAGCAATTTTCTTTCCTCTCATATAATTAAAGGACATTTACAACCTCACCTAAAAATTAAAAAAACAAACAAACAAAATCTAACAAAAAAAAAAAAAATCAAAAAACCAAAAATAATCACTCAGATTTGCCCAGGAAAACAGGAAAAAAAATGCACTCCACTACAATAATTTATGTAAGCAGCAAGCAATTTTATCTATGCTTCCATTTAGCTACTGTGATTGATTGCTAGTTACTTTCTAATTTCCTGTTGAAGTTTGATTTAGGGCAACACAAAACTCCTTCACCGGGATTTCAGCTCCAAATAGAACAAAGTCATTAACAGAATTAATAGATTCTAGTTGGTTTGCCTTGCCAAGCTTTCTTTAAAAGAAACATGTTCATTAGCATGTTGCATGGGAAGAAAAGAAATTGAATGAGCAGGAAAGAATTAATATACCTACAGGATATGAAATGTGACTCATCTGGCAGCTGAAGCCATGCTCAGATTTTTGTATGGAGTTTTTATATTCATAATCTATACTGCTGCTGTATTGAGAGCAGACCTCTAGTTGTCAGTGCAGGAAGTTTGCTTGTCAAGGGGATTTACTTGGAAATAGTTAAGTCATGATTTGTAGTGTCTTTGCCCATTAAAAAAAAACCCCAAAACCGAAAAAACCACTTTTGGATGCAGCACAAAGGCTTTTCTGATTGCACAAGCTACACTCTTACTTATCACAACAGTCTCCCAACAGCAATGCATCCTCTCAGCATATTCTGTGGCTATAAACCCACTTCTCATTCCTAACTCACCACTTACCTGTCAGAAAAAACCAAACTCAGTGTTGTAAGGTAATCCCTATATTCCGACATTCAAATATCTTAAAAAAAAAAAATAACCTATTTTTTTTAAAGATATTCATCATACAAACTTTGGCTTCACACTTCACTTTTAAGCCTTGTTTAGAACTGTGCTAGCAAGCACCTCCTCAGTGAAAATCCCAGTGCAGCTGCACATCTCTCCAGACTTACCATTCTGCAGTGGTCCACAATTCTTCACCTGCCACAGAGTTTTCTGTAGTAAACTGAATTATAATTTGGAGCATGAGGGCACTGGAACATGCATATACATACAACATCTGCACTTTTCAGAAATTCATTTATAGCTTGCTGTAAAAAGATTTATTCGCATCAAGGTGCCCACATTTTCATTTTCACCATTGGCTGCACCCACATTAACACACTCCTGCTCCTTTATTCTTTCATTCTAATCCAGAAATGCCTCCTATACTCCAGCCTGCCAAGTACATGTAGCACATTTTCAAATATTTCCTTTCAGACATCATAGCTCTAGTCTCCTTTAGTCTTAATTCTTCCACTATCCTTTTCACCTCCCTGAGAGGTTTCAGTTAATTACAGCTCTCTTATCTGGTCCCTATGAAGTCTTATTTTTCTCTATGTGCAGCCTTTGGTTCTCATAATTCATACCGATGCTGCATTGACTCTACCTTGCTCTGAAGTACCTAACCCTTCATCCCTTCTCTCAGTAATGCATCACCTGGGAAAAAAAAGAGATTTGCAGCATCTAAAAACTCAAAAATTATTACTGGAATAGAAAGAGTAAAGCTGACACATCTTGCAGACATGCTCTCCCTAAAAAAATAAAGCAAAGTTTGCAAAAACACATTGGCAGAAATGAGCATTTCACACATTACCTGCACTTCTCAAACACAGGGAGGAAGGTGTGCAGGTTTTTTGAAGAAAGAAAAAAACCCCAGCACAATATAAATTTCCCAAGCATTTTCAATTAGTTTTCTTGTCAGTGATTTCAACCTTCCTTGCAAGGAGACAGACATTTAGCTTAATTATTTTACTGCTGAGGTCTAATTTGCAGATGATTGCCTCCAATTAATCCATGCTTTAGATACAGGTTTGGGGCTTGTGTACTCATTATATTCAAATAAAAACCTTAAAGAAAGGTTAACAAAACCCTGGTGCTAATATGCACCTGAAAGAAGTTAACATGTTACTGATGTAAGTAACATGATCATGTGTTAGAAAGCCTATCCCACACAGATTCAAGACAAGCAGCAACAGGAAGACAGTAACACCAAAGGGATGATCCTGCCACAAAACTCTCCCCCAAGAGCTCACCCTAGAACTCATACCTAACTCCAGAGGTGTTTTTGTGTTTTATAAAAACACACTAGAGAAAATGCATGAACAATTTGTTTTGCTAATCCCTTCATGCAGACAAGAAGCTCTGCATAAAACAGCAATCAATAGTTTCTCTCTTCCCATTACAGCTGTTGTGCAGAAATATTTTTTACTGTGCTATGGGAAACAGTCCATGTCAATACTGAATTACTTTCACTTCAATACAGTTGTTTTTTGTTCTTCTTACTATAAAAGCCATAATGGAAAAAAGACATGAATTCATATTGTATGGAAGGTTTTATTGATTGCTAAATTGCTGTCACTTACATCAGGTATAGCACTTTCATTCCAATCCAACAAACCTAAAAAGAAGCTGCTGTTAGACACTTGTTTCTGTAAGCCTTTCAGCTGCCAAATACATATTGTTCTGCACAACTCTCACGCTGCCAGCAACACAACAGCATGGTAGCTGCACAGCTTACACTGTATGCCTCAGTATAAGCAAAGAGTCGTCTGAAAATTCATCACTTTTACCAGTTACACTTTTTTATGTTACAAAAAAAACCCATTTCCTAAGTTCTCTGCAATTTTATACACAGTATAAAACAAATTTCAGGGTTTGTGGTAGAAACAATTTGAGCCTATACAGAAGAGAACATCAAATTCTATGAATTAAGGACAGTGACTATTTTCTGTAATTAGACTCCCAGTCAAGATTATTTAAACTGACATTGCATTGTGACCCTTTCCAGAAGCATGGATAACCCATGCAGTAGATCAGATCCTCCTCTTTTGCTTCACCTTATGACTGACATGGACAAATCTAATGTCACTGTGTACCTTACACGATCAGGCCTATGTGTGACTATCCAGACTTACTCAGCACCAGGGAAGTACTTGGATGAAATCTGATAATCCTGATGCACCACAAACAATGCTTACATAAAAACATGTGATGATATTCACATTACTGTCAAGGGGAGAAAAAACTTCTGAGAAGGAAATGAACAAGTCAATCAAATGTTCAAGAATACCCGTTTAAAAAAACGACACTTTGAACTGGGGCAGCCTATCCTAGGGCCAAAAAGGATACATATTATCCCAAGTAATAACAGGCTTTAATGTATAAACAAAACCTTTACTGGGGGCACAAAGAAGAAATGCTTTGGTAACCACTGCCCCAAGATACCAGATTCCTGCAGAAGTCCAGAGAAGAAACACGGGTTCTTAAGGAGATTTTTTGATCTCTCTTCAAAATGATAAAGAGTAAAATAAATGCTGTTTCTAAAGTAAAGTGCCAGTACAGAAAAGGAGTTCTAGAATTGTGGCCCATAGCTAGAGATGTAATTTCTCCTTCCTCATTCCAAACTATCAAAAAAAAAAAAAAAAAAAAGACACTTCTTAAAAAAATCCCAAAACAAAATGAAACAAAAAAAATCTTCAACAATCCCACCTCTTTTCAAGTTCAGTTGTTTCTCTGCTCTGGTTTCCTGCATAGGATTTCACTGTGAGCAACAAAATTCTGTATAACACCAATAATTGTCTGACTTCTGGAATGAAGCATTAGCAGCAGTATACAACATGCCTACGCCACAATCTCTATTTTTAACTGCTATATTAGTTAACATGGAAAGAACCGTAATCAAGATCCAGAAAAAATCAAATTACCACTCAAATAAAAGATGTTTAATCCAACTCATAAATACCAAATATTCCCCTTCCTATTTTGTGAAGTTGCTTCCGATAGTAGCTGTCAACTAAAATTCAGCTATTTATGCAGCACGGAATCCCTTAAAATGACATTGTCAAACATTCAGATTATAAATACAAGACCTCCTATGTATCATAAAAAAGACAAAAATTGTCATAATATAAACAACACATAATTTCACTAGCTTTTTGTAAATTACATTGCAAATAAATCACTTCTCTAACACAAATCCTAGATTTGAAAGAAGTCAAACTGCTAGAGAATAGAAATAATTATTGTGAATTGCTTGATATCAACGCCTGATATCAATGAGGCCACAGACTAATTCTCAGCATCTACCCAGCGTAAAACCTGCCAATGCAGCTATTAACACTGCTAGCGAATTTGCCAATAACAGAATTGCCAGATGACAATGTTTTTCTACACTGCCCTGTGAAGAGAAAGTACTTTAGAGCAGCACAGACATCACAGATAAGCAATAGCAAGGAGGTTTATGTGTTTACTGCTTGTTACATGACTATTTGTAGAGCCAATGAAAGATTTGTCCCTCCAGAAGTACAAACTACCTTTCAGTAACAGTTCATTTTAAATTCCTTCCTAAGATCATGGGAAGACAGCAACCTGTAAAATAAGGCTTAAATGACTTAAGAGCTTTTCCTGTAGCTGAGTTTTAAAAACTCACTGCACCCTACTGTCATATATGCTTTAGATAACTGGCAAAGGCAAACAGTTCATCTACAAAGAAAATCAACTGGTGCTGCAAACAAAGTGATTCAACAGCAGTCCTTGCTATAGAAAGCCCACTCTGAAATAACTAAGTGAGGATGAGTGCTTCCATTTGAACACTTTCCTGGGGAAAGATACACTCTGAAGATCCATTTCATTCAATAACACAGCACCAGCAATGTTCAGTGGCCATGTTCATAAAGCAAACTACCTTATTATTGTGCTGTCCTGCTTGTTTGCAAATTACTCAGTAACTCTAACTTAGTACTTAGCCTATGTACAAGAAACAATATTGGTCTAAAATCTGAAAGCGTCCCTAAGGAACTTCCAGAAGATGACTTCTATGCATAAATTTGTGATTAACTTTTGAGGTCAAGCAAGGGTGTTTCAGACAACCTAGCTCATCAAAATATTTTTGTAAGAATCTATTGAGTGTAAGTCTAAGAAAATAACCACCTGCCACCTATGTTTTTCATGAACCATACATGCTCCACAAAGTTAAGATTCAACTGGTTTGCTGGAATCGCAACAAAAAAAGACAGAAGGAAAGAGAAATAAAATTTATTATAAAACATGTTGAAATAGCAATGACTTAGCTGACTTCTTGCTCTGCTGTTCTAGGCAGAACAAAATCTGACTGAATGCTCTCAGGAAAGCCAAAACAAAATTACAGAAGTAGTATGCTGCCGCACTAAAATCGCTTTCTCTTGATAATTTCTGGTTTCCAGCTGACAGGATGAGTTTCTTCAGTCTAAAGGGAAAAAAATAATCTCATAAGGATTATTTTAAACTTGAAACTCACCTATAATAAAGGTTTGGTTTAAAATATTACTTATGAAGTATATGTACTCTATTTCATATGTAGCATTATTAATATCTAATCTACAATGTAATTAGTTTACCCAAATTAAATTTTCTATCATCTCAATGTCTGAAGTACATAGCAATACTTGTGCAGTACTTGTCTTTTTTTTTCCAGCAAGGAAAATGGTTAGATTGCCAGTGGCATTTCCAAAACAACACCGTAGTTATCAAAGCACATGAACAGGAGCTGCCAGTGACAGACATGTCTACATCAGTATCGGTAGGTGTCATGGAGTGTGTTTTGCCCAACTTCAAAAGAGATAAAAAATTCCTGATTCTTTATATCTAAGACTTACTCCTAGTCTAATTCAATGCAAAATTCCAACATTTAATAAAAATTCTTACATTCTTTATACTGAAGACATGCACTGATAAACTGTGCAATCATCTGTTGTCTTCTCCACTGGTAAATTAATTCATATTTTAGAATAACAGTTTGAAAATAAGCTCTTGACTCTAAAGTCTAAAAATTGTCAAGGCCAACAACTAATCCAGATCATATAAATAAGTACAATAAACCTTAAAAGAGCAATCCTTTTGCTGATTCCCATGTTTTTATCAATACAACCCCACACAGTTCCCCACTGGGTTCAAAACACAACATATATGATTGTATTCAGATTTCTCCAAACTTCACCACAAAGACCTTTAACAGAAGAGTTCACAGACCTGACACTTACTTGTACTACAGAACATAACAACAATTAGGAATGTAGAAATTAGCTACTGTCCTGTTAATGCTAATACAGAGGTCTTTCAAACTTCAACAAAATGGATTATGTAAGTCTTAACATGTCCCCAACAGATGTGTGTTCTATTTGTCTGAATTTTTCTGATTTGATGAAAATACTTTAAAAAGATACTTTGACATACCGCAGTATCATCTTCTTTGTATACTTTTATGGTTTTATCAGCTTCAGCCGTTAGCAATCTGCTTTCTGACTGGTCAAAAACACAAGCAAATATTCCTGATTCACTGTCCAAAGAACCCGGCTGTACAGCTGCATGTACTCTCTGGAAATTGTATCCAGTTCTCCAGTCCCAAAGGTGCATAGTGCCATTATCAGCTACAACAAACAAACAAACAAACAAACTTAGTATTTTGACCAGTTAATTTCTATCTGTTTTCTAAAAACAGCATCATGAACAACTAGTAAATACATCAGGAATACATCACGCAACATTCACGTAGAATAGCTCAGTACACCCTATAAATTCCCCTATTTTCTGCTGTTTTCCTTCCTCAGAATCTCATCCAGATTTTCATCAGATAACTCAGAGAGATGATACACTACATCACAGGGCAATTGCAGCAAGTTGCACTGGAGGCACAGTAAGGACTAGTATTGTGAATATCAAGCTCCCTGCTCAGTAGCTCCACTGAAGTTTAATGAGGAGGCATCATCCTCCCAAAGAGATTAGGACATTAAGGACTTAATGCAAAGTAGGTTTAATGTTTGGAGATTTTATTCCAAATCCAGTTTAAACCACTTCCAGTATTGCTGCTACTGGCATCAGCTACAGAGCATTCACAGCAATCAGAACTCTCTATTCAGAAGGATGCTCTCAAGAAAATTTTTCAGTTACGAAACCCAAGGGTTCAGTTACAAAACCCAACCCTTCAAGAAGGGTGTTTCTACAGTAGAAAACTCCAAGGTAAAATCAACTTATTTTGATTCAGCATCACCTTCTCTGAAGTTACTGTAGATAGCATTAGGATGTAAAGGGGAGAATTGATACTCAAATTTTAGCTTTTTAAAAGTCACAATTAATATCAGTAAAATTATAATAGATTTTTTATGTGGAGAAGGTGTTTTTTAAGACTTACCTACTACTAACAAAAAAAAATCTTAAAAGGATGTTCTGAAAGTGTCTTCAAATAATAATAATAATAATAATAATAATAATAATAATAATAATAATAATAATAATGACATGTAAGTTCATTCCAGTATTTTTTGAAGTTCTTGCTCTTACTGGGGATGAGCCATTTGTTAAACACAGCTTTAACCAAATTTTAAAATCGGGGACCCTTTTACACATAGTTGGAAACATAATCAGAGTAAGATGACAATGTAATTGGCTGTTTCCCAATTCCTGCTTAGCACATTTCCATCTTACTCCACATCCCTAGCCTACAGACCAAGGGCACATGCGACCAAGTGCCTTATTCCCATTCAGCTTTAGCAAGATGCTTCTACATCCTCTATCCAGTCTCACTGCCTCAACAGTGGATGCAACACTAATGACCAGCAGATCATAAAAGATGGACTCTGGAGCCCTGCAGCAGCAGCCAGCTGAGAAAAGGAAACCTCTTCCATGCAGTACATTAGAAGTCCTTCAAATTTATTTTATTTGCATGCAGCCCAGAAACATCCAAGGACATGAAAGTGGCCCTACTCACTACAAAATGAAATGGTGTCCTGCAGCAGGCTGACAGGCCTAGGTAAAGCAGAGCTCCATGAGCATCTCTGCCTAAGGACCTCTAGCCATATGTACATGGGGGAGAGAGCAATGTGTATTTCTCATTCTTACCTCCTGAGACCAGAACACCATCAGAATTTACAGCCAGTGTGTTTATAATAGCATTGTGACCAGAGAGATTCTGAATGAAGTTTCCATCTGGGAATTTCCACTGCTTAATATTATCTGGAGAACCAGATGCAAATGTGTAACTGAAAGAAAATAAACACAATACATTAAAGCTCAAAATAGCTGTAGTCAGAGCAAATGTCCTTCATTAAAACTATTGCTAAATGCTAATTGCAAAATTACTTAATATTAAAACTACTTATCTGTTTACTTCACATGAAATTAAGCAATTTTATGAAGTCGTGAATTACCTACTCCTAGTGTTTTCTTTCTACTTCATAAACTAAACTTTGTAACATCTTGTATGCTGTAGGATTTAATATGCAAACAAATATTTAAAATGCACATTAAGTTCTCTTCAGCTGTTACTCTGAGAAATTTTTAGGGCATCACCAGCAAAGGTAACAAGATAAAAAGGTACTAAACCCCAAGCACAGGCTAATGGCTAGTCTTCCAAAATTACACAAGCAAGGAAAAAGCCCTGCGAAAACGTAACTATGAAAGATAAATTCTCCCACTGAGTTATCCCAAAATAAAAATGTCCTTCATTTTAACATGTGCGAGCAGTCACACGGTTATTTGGCTAGCCTGTAGGAATACTTTCATTTGCCACAATGTCCAGGGAATTTGCTGTCTATTTAAAACATACCACAAATAAAAAAGTTAAGTATTATGAGAAAACACCACAACATTAAAAAAAAAATTAGAAATACTGAACTATAGGCTGACAATTGCTACAGTTTGACAAGAACAAGCGTTTTTCAGAAGGGTGTAATTGATGAAGCTGAACCCTGAATTACTTTTTTTTCAGAATGTAAGTAAAATATAGGCTTTTTCTATAGCTAACAGGCTACACAATTTTTCAGGCACACACTGGAACAAAGTTTATTCATATCAAAGATTCTGTATTTTTGACAGAAATGAGAGAATGTAATTTTAAAATATTAAAGACAAGTAATCAAGTTCTATGTGAACTCCTTTTCTCCATTGTTTTCATGGGGATCCAAACAGGCAACTGTTGTGCATCAAAACACAGCATCTGAATTCAGAGCACTTCCAAGAACATCTGCTTCAAAGCTTCAATTCTCACACTGAGTTTTTTTTAAGGCCAGTTAGATTGAAATGCTTTGTGCAGTGAACCACATATTCAAAAGAAAGACCATTCTATTAATCACTGTCTCCTTGAGCATTAATCACATGTATGCATTGGCCCATTACAAAACTACTGCAATTCCTGCTCACAACCATTCAGATACATATTTGTTATTAGCCTTATGACCACTGTATCACCGAGTTTTAAGGACTGAATAAAAGGCACACACAGAAGTAACTCTGTGGGATATAAGGCATTCTCAGGATTGTTAATGTACACCAATGCCAATACTAGGGAAGCACAATCAGTGCAGTAAAATGTATCTGGTAACTGATATGTACATTTTTGCATCATCCTAAGTGCATTAGTTTCTCACATTATTATGCTCTACCATTCTAGATCATCATTCTCATTGGCTCTCTTCCATTCTCAAGAAACTGTGAAAGCATAACAGAATAAAGAAAACTTACTGTCTTGGATGTAACACTACTGCTCTTACAGATTTCTTGTGATTTGTTAAAGTAACACGAGTTTTTCCTGCCACCAAGTCCCAGAGCCGTATGGTAGTATCATGACTGCCTACAATGAGAAGAAAATTTAAAAAAAAATAGTAAAAACCATCACCTTGATTTTATCATAATTATTACTTTGCTAAGGCAGCCAGAATGATGTGAGAGAGACATAAATACTGTGCTAATGCCACCTCAGATGAAGGAAGATGCCGGATTGCAAAAGTATTTTTACTCATTTTTAAGAAGTGCTTTTTACTCAGTTTTAAGAAGTGTCCTGTTCTGCAGTGTAACTTTAAGAAGTTACACTACAAAGCTTGATTTTGACATAATGCAAAAGAAGATGAATACTTAACCACAGTACTGGACACTCCTGAACTGAAATGGGGAGAACTGAAATACCACAGAAAATGCAAGTCTCCATACTTACTATAACACAAATGAAAATACCAGAAAAAAAAAGGAAGTGCAGAAAAGCATTCAAACAGCCATATGCACAGCCATATTTGCTTAAACATACCATTAACAGTACCTAATAACCATTGCAGGGCCCATTTTCAACAGAAACTGGTATGAGATTTGAGCAAATTCACCAACATCATGAACATCACACAATTACTGAACAAACACATTCACCATTAGGTTTTTCAATCATGTTACTCATTAAACTACACCTACTATACCTGTAATAATTTGTGGTTCTGCAGCTTGGCACTTCACAGTTGCTACTGCATTTGTGTGTCCTGACAGCGTGTGCACACTGGCTTTTGTCCTTACATCCCAAATCTATGAAATCACAGCAAATATGTCAGAGGTCAGCAACAGGTGCATAGTCAATGTATTTTAGGCACTGTCATTGATTACATAATTTCCTTGCCATAGTCCTACAGATTAAAAAATGGTATTTAGGTGGTAATCATTTATTACAGAACTGCCACAGCTGGTACATTTCAAGGGCAGCAGGAACCTGCCAGTGAACTTCCAGGCATATGGCTCATTCAAGTCACCATAATACTAATACCAGAACACCACCTTCTAAATACTAAGCAATCCTATATATATGATGTAGTCTACCTACTAAATTAAGAAACAAAACATTATCCTTAAGGAGCATGGCACATTTGTGCATTTGAGTTTCAATTTTATCATTAATATAAGACAAAACTAACACAAATCATCTCAGTATTTAATTTAAATTGATAACTTTTTCTAAGTACTCATTTTTACAAATGAAGATACTGAAATACACACATCAAGATGTTTAAACACAACAGTGCTATACTCACTCGTGCTGTTGAATCTCTGCTGCATGTCACCAGCACATCTATTGTTGGATGCAAGTCTAAGCCATAAACAGCACTTAGATGACCGTGGTAATGTCTGATAACCTAGATGAATAAAAACCACGCAAACAAATAATTGAAAGAATATTCTAAATACTTTGATTTTTGTATTTGCTACTACTAATTCCTAACTAATTCCTTAAATTAAAGAAACTGCAACTTACCTTATTGTATTCAAGATCCCAGCATTTCACTTGTTTGTCTTCTCCACAAGAAAAGAGGTATGGACTTCTTGCACTTACTATCACCCCACGTACAGTACTGATGTGTCCCGTCAAAGACAATTTCAATTTGCCACTAGCAAGGTCCCAAATCTGCACCAAAATAGGCATTTTAAGGTAGACAGGAAAAAGCTACACAGTGAATCTGGGTAAACAGCCCAGATGTAACTGATCCTGCTGTAATGTAAGTTAAAAATACAGTCACAAAAACACTCTCCAGCTACTACCATGTAATAAATGAAATCTCAAGAAAAGAACTAGTGATACTCCACAAATCCCTGATGACAATGTAACAAATGCTCTGTAGTTCTTTATTCCGCAAACAGTAAACAAGAAATTGTTTCCAAAGGCTGGAAACATTTTTAAATAAATAGGCACCAAAAACTCCACTCCCGACAAACTCTGTCAGTCATTTCTTCCAACCTCTTACCTTTATGGTTCTGTCAGCAGAGCCAGTAACAAACCACTGATTTCCTGGTTCTACTGCAATACATCTCACCCAGCCCAGATGACCACTGATAACCTTCAGAAAGAACAAAAAAAAATTATATCAGAAATAATACAATAACTTTTGATGTAATTTTCCTTCTCCAACACTGAAATTTGATAGTATTCACCAAAAAAAGTCAAATGTGAAATCAGGTCTGAAGACAGCTTGATTTCTACTTCAGTTAAAGAGAAAACTAGAAATTTACATACACCAGACTTGGGGAAGCTGCAATATGTTAAGACTTTGTTTGTATAAGCAACTTTTTCAAATCCTTTGAGAGCCCGTAACACCGTGGCTCAACACTTGAAGCTTTGCAGAGAAAAACTGTATTTGAGCACAGATTCCTTCTGCTGCTGTATAGTGGTCATACAGTTATAAAACTGTTATAAAAACACTGGCTATTAAATCACGTTTCTATATAATAACTTCTTAAAGCACACCATCACCTTCTTTTCCCCAAAACAGGGGTATATGAGAGTTGGACATTTTCCAATAATAAAATAATGGAGACTGACCTCACAAGAAATATTCTGCCAACACACACTTTGCTTTCAGCAGCCCATTTCTTCAAATTCTCCAAAGTCAGACAGCTACAATCAAACCTCCTAACTGGTTTCACTGATGTCATGTTTCATGTACTGTCACACAGCTCATTTCAAAAGATTTAAAACACAACGAAGCTTCTTAGGCAGAAATACAGCAAATCTTCCACCAAATTTAACAGAACACAGCTATGAGAGTAAAAAAGAGGTTCAAAGAGAGACTGTGTATTCAGCTTAGTTGTGATCACTTTTTGATCACATTTTTAAATAATATTTGATTATATTTTTGTGAATGAGAACAAAAATTATGATTTGAGGTCTTACATAGAGTATGTTTACTTTTATATGTAGGTTCGTGTCATATAATTTCTAACTTACTCTGTACAGTTTCCAAGGTGGATGCCACTGAGGTTTGGGCATGGTTGGAGCCTTCTTTGGCATTAATGCAGAATTTTTGTTTCCACCAGCTTCCACCATAGCCTGTAAGTTAAAAGAAGGGTTACTCTTCTGGTTTGTAGCTTATCTCTTTGTTCAAAGCCTAAAACTTTCTCATCCTGCCTTCTCAATACTGATTAAATTTAGTCAGTCAGATCTCCACACAACACCCACACAGATTCAGAAGCAATCTGATCAACACCACGTACTGTTCACGTCAGATGTGCAACAGACTCACCACAGACATCCCAGGAGGCTGGGAACGCTCAGATATTCCAGCATGCCTGTAAATGTCACCCACACCAGCAGCTGTCCGGTTTGCATCCAGCCTAGGGGGAGTGAAAATGGTTCATGAGTTGCAATCGACTTTCTCCTGCTAAGTGATAAGGATCACAGGGCTGCACCCAGCTGTACACCTCTCAGGATGGAGAGTCCACAACCTCTCCTGGAACCCTGTCCAGGACCTGACCACCCCAAGGTACAGATACCACAAAGCTTCACATTCTTCTCTTCTAACTAAACAAAATTTCCCTTGTCCCAACTTCCACCCACTGCCCCTCACGACAATACAAAATAAAAAGCATACAGAAAAATAATGCCTGTCCATACTAAAAGCAGTTCCTTTAAGAATATTGTAATTATTCCAAGTAGCTCTTATCCCAGCTTCTGTGATTTGCCTTGCAATTCCCACAGATAACAGTGTCAATGAGGTAATACAGCAGTACCTGGACTGGGAAGCAGGAAGTGCTACAGCTAAGGACTGTGCTGCTGATTCACTTGGCATCCTCTGGACCTTAGTATCTGCTGTCAAAGCCACACCTTGGAAAAAAAAAAAAAACACATATGAAACAAAGACAACTCCTTTAAACAGGAACTCAAAGTGTATTATACAAACATATGTATATATGTACAGCTGCAAACAAGGGCCTGACACACCTGTAACATAAACTCTCATCCTTCGATAACATTTTCACATCCAATTCAAATCTACTGAAATCTTTATTTTGGCACAAATCCTTTCCATCTTGATCTACTACATATGTGAGCATAAAATTTCTAGAGTATAAAACAGTACATCAGTGGAAACAAAAATAGTCTAACTAGGAGCAGCATCAATCTTTATACCCAGCTTTAAGTGCTATGGAAATCCAAACACCACAGAAATAAACATGATCTTGCAAAGCATCTGCTAACTTAGGCCCTTTAGCACAATCTACAATCCATTCCTATGAGGTGTTTGGCATCATGCAGTGGTGCCAGAACTATAAAAGGTTTAGTCCTACTGAAGTGAGAGTTTCAGGCTACATCTGCAGATTTTTAACCTTATCTCAAGAACAGCAGATATTGTCTAAAAAAAATTAAAAACTCTTTGTAAAGTATAGTTTTGGTGCAGACTGGTGAATTTAACTCATCGTTTTATTTATTTTCCTAACCAAACTTCTGTCAGTTGACAAACTCAGTATTTGGGCAAAATATTCAGATAAAAACAAGAAACAGCAAAGAAAGAAATCTGATTTTCAACCCTGATACAAATTATTCTATTAAAAGAACACTAAACTTAAGGAAGCCACTGTGAGCAATTCTCTTCCCCACAGTTAGAAGCAACCATGCCTGTTTTTTTAATGGTTGAGGGTCCACTGAACACTCTCATCTGTTAAGTTATAAATCAAGACAACAGATTTTCCACTATACTCATAATAAACGTAAGCACAATAAAAGACCAAGAGCTGAAACTAAGCTCTTCCAAGAACAGAACAGGATTGATCAGTAACAGTGACAATGAGCAACGGCCAATGCAACAACACATAAACATAAGCACAACACAAGCAAAATTATTAGACCCTCAAGTCTCTTCCCCAGAGCAAGGTGGTGAAACCTGCGCCTCTCTGCTCTGGAGATGAAAAACAGGCAACATTCCACTACTATTAATTATGGATTCACGTCAAGAAGAAGCCTGCTCCTGTTAGGATGAACGACGTCTTGCTCATACAGGAACCCGAAAGTCCATACAAACACTTGAAAAATTGGACTTTACTTACCAGGCCCAGATGGGTATGGGTGAGTACCAGTTACCATATACTCAACTTCTTGCCCTAAAGAGCAAGAGAATGTTATATTAATAATTTCATTCTATACTGCACTGCAAACAACGCACTCAAACAGCAAATAGAAGAAAAGAAAGCAGACCATACACAGGAGGAAAAACCAGTAATGTACCTAGACATTTCTCGTTTTCATTACTTTAATTTGTTCTGGTTATCTCCATTGAATGGTGAAGCTACCTGCTATCAAGAGGATTCAAGAAAAAAATCTTCATACTGCCTTTGAAGGAGATATCATGTATACAAAGAACACAGATGTCTGAAATGCAAGCTAGTCGGTTGTCTGTGCTGTCAGATTCTTAAAAGATTTTTCATTCTCTCTCAACATGTTTCACTTTCACAATACTTCCAAACAAAGCACCTTGAGCAGAATCTCAGTATCAACTGAATATCAACTACCTCAACTAGAACGAGGCAGCACTGTTAGAAAAGAAATTTTCATACGAGTTCTAACTAATACATACATGTTTTATACATCACAAAACATACACTGAAGAGAACTCTACAGATTTGAAGTGAAGGGTTTTCTGGTTTAAAAATTGCACAAAAAGCTGAAAGATTGTAAATATACTATGAAACAGAACTAAAATAACAAAAAATCCACCCCAAACAAATAACAATATACAAAAATGCCAAAACAAACAAAAGTCAACAAAAGAGCATGTCCTTAATCATCATGAACTTGCAAACATAAGAAATACATTACTCAACTCTAACACCTAAGTACACCACACACTAACATTACGAAAAATTACTCTTTTCACCAATTAATCAGTATAAAAAATCCACAGCATCCAGTAAGTCCTTTGTCAAAAGCAGCTTTCCCCTTTTTCTGAATCACTTACCACCTGTGAACCCTAGCAAAAAAAATACCAATCAAAAAAGGGGTTTTTTTTGATTTCTGTATTTATCTCCAGTGAATTAACACTGGACTGCATTGTGCAGATTTTACAACAGTGAAACTGTGACAAAAGAAAGGACAAATATAGTACTAAGGGCAAACTAACCTTGATTTCCAGAGTACTGTTTGTGTCCATAGGGATCCCCGGTGCTGGGGCCTCCTTTCTCCCTCAGGTTCTCTTTGAGCGTGGGCATGTGCAGCACTGAGCCGTACTCCGTGCGCAGCTTGACTGCCATCTTCACCTTGTGACTGGCAAGAGTAAAGCAAAACCCTCACTGAACCCCACTTTCTCAACTGTTAACAAGTTCTGAAATATTTCACAGAGGATGCCATAAAACTTACTTTACAACTCTAATATTTCTTCCCCCTCAAGATTACGCTGTACAGAAATATCTGAATTTCTGATCTGGGTCAGAAATTGACAATCACCGACAGAGTTTAAAACTTCACTGAGTGCAGCAGCACTTACCTTTCCTCATCCAATGGGATAGGCTTGGCATTATCAGCTACAAACATGTCATGGGTTCTCTTCAAAGACCTGAACACAAGTGTGTGCACAGAATGCTTTTGGACTTCCTAAAATAAAGCAAAGAGCATTTAAATAAATTAGAACAGATTTGAATGAAAAACTGCACACTGAAACATAAGTTGAACTGAGCAGCAATTTCTCAGTTCTGTTACACAACATGCGACCGTTTGGTTCACAGAAGACACTAATCTTCTTGGAAATTAAAAAATTAAGTTATTATGTCAGTTGTTTATTCAAAACTATATTCTACTCCTTGAAAACTTCCAAGATTTTAAAAAGCAAGTCAAGAACTTTTATCAAACTTTCTGCACTGGTATCTACATGACAAATCCATGAGTAAAAGCTTTTATCCCACATCCTCCCCAGTTTTGGGGAGGTTTTCATATGCAGGCAATAAAGAAGTCAATTCTGGAAAAAAAAACCAAAAACAAACAAACAAAAAACCTGTAAATTTTCCTTCACTACCACTGTAAAAAGAAAATGAGCATCATGATTTTCTGTGCACAGTACCACTTCACATTAACATGGCTAATTACTACTCCACAACAGCAGCTGTTGACACCACAAGAGGAGCACTAGGTACCACCATGTCTCCCCAATGGGAAGAAACTTCTGCAAGTAATTTCTGACAGATGCATTTCTGTAAAAAACCAGCTCACAGTGTTGCATTGGGCAGCAGTCATTGCACCTTCTTCTATAACCCTGACAGCTCCACATGCTTTCAGAAGTGCATGAAATTCCCCCCACAGTAAAGATTCTACAACCTATAAAACCAGTGGCCTTCTCCACAGCTGGGCTCCCAAGCCCTCACAAAAAAAGCTGAGGTTTCCCTTATGGGCTAACAGAGTCAGTAGCTCTCTGGCGGTAAAACACCACAGCATCAGTTCCCCACAATCACAGAATGTGCTGAGCTGGAAGTGGCTTACAAGGATCACCAAGTTCAGCTCCTGGCCCTGCACAAGACACCCCAAGAGGCACACTCTGTGCCCAAGAGCTTTGTCCCAATGTTCACGGAACTCTGTCAGCCTTGCTGCTGTGACCAGCTCCCTGAGGAAGCTGTTCCAGCCCAACCACCCCCTGGGTGAAGGACTTTCTTCCTAATATCCAATCTAAACTACCCCTGACACAACTTCAGACCATTCTCTTGGATCCTGTCACTGTCACCACAGAGATCAGATCAGAGCCTGCTCCTCTGCTTCCCCTTCATGAGGAAGCTGTAAACTGAAATGAGATTTCCATTCACCTTCTTCCCCAGGTTGAATATGGCAAGTGACCTCATCCACTCCTCATAAGGTTTTCCCTCTAGACCATTCATCCCCATATCCTTTACACCTTTTTCTGATATTGTGGTACCGAAACCAAAACCCAGCACTCGAGGTGAGGCCGCCCCAGAGCAGAGCGGAGCGGAGCGGGACAATCCCTTCTCTTGACGGGCTGACGATGCTGTGCCCGATGCTCCCCAGCACCAACTCCGCATTCGGCACAAGTCTGGCAAAGCAAACCCGCTGCCTGCTGCTCACTCCCGCCCAGACACGGACACTCCGATGACCCGCACCCGCTGCGTTCTGCGGGCACCTCGCTGTCCCGGGGCCGAACGGGGCGGGGGCCGCGCAGATGTCGGGGCCGCCACGGACCATCCCCACAGCGGCCTTTCCCACCCGGGGCTCAGCGAGGGTGGCGGCGCTTCTCCCGCCCGGCCCCAACCCGCTCCCACTCCCGGGTCTCGCCCAGAGCACCTAAAGGGCGCGACAGAGTGAACGCGCAGGGCCGCTCCCCCGTCCCTCACCTCCGCCATGGCGCCGCCGAACTCCCCCCGCCGCGGCCGCTATGGCGCCACTTCCGGCGCCTTCCTGCGCCGGACCGGAAGAGAAGCGTAAAGAGGGAAATGGACGGAGCGCCAAAGCGGAGGGGCGGGGTTTATCGCAACCCCTCCGCTCGGTGTACGGGGGATCACTGGTTCGAGCCTCGCTGGCGCTGCCAGAGCGGGCGGTGCGAGTCACTTTATCAATGTGTACAAATATATAAAGAGAATGGAGCCAGGCTCTGCTCGATGCTGCCAAGCAACAGGACAAGAGGCAGTGGGCAGAAACTGATGCACAGGAAGTTCCACCTGGACGCACGAGGAAGAACTTCACTGTGCAGATAATGGTGCCGCAGCGCAGAGAAGCTGCGGAGTCTCCCTCACTGGAGATACTCAAGAACTCTCTGGACACAGCCCTGTGCTGCTGGGATGGCCCTGGTTGATCCGGCAGGTGTGACCCGATGACCCCACTCACTGCGCTCCCTCCAGCCTGAGCCATCCCGCTCTGTCCCCGGCGGCGGGCGCGGTGCGGGCAGCGGCCGGCAGAGGGCGGTGTGGCGCTGCGGAGAGGCGGCGGCGCTGCCCCGCTGCCGGCCCTCAGCGGGGCCCGGGCGCTGCCGCCTCAGCGTGAGGGGGGGATTGAGCCTGAGCGGGGTAGTCCCGCTTTGGGTGTCAAACTATCGGACTTTGCAAATGTTTAGGGGCGTGGAACTACAGGTTTCATGTATTGCTTTCCTTGTGAGTTCTCAAGGGTAAAGCCTTACAGTGCTGAAGCGCGGTGATATTGGATGTTAGACTTTATAGCTGATCTTTTGGAAAGTGTCTTAGTTTGGCTCCACGGGACCTCATTTCGGTGGAGAGAGAAGCATGTGAACGAGGTGGCAACCCCCGCACTTCATGGCAAAGTGTTGGCTGTGAAAGGGCAGAGGCTGTAAATCTCTTCCAAGCCTACCCTGGTGCTCCATCTGACATTTCACTTCCATTGGTGAGCAGAATAACCAAATGCATCTGTGCAAATTTCACACAGGCACCTACTTTCTCCACATATACTCTTCTGCTCTTAATTCCAGGAAGTCTTGTCCTCCTGAGCAGTAGCTGGGATTTGACAAGCTCACCTTTTGCAGCCACTCCATCATGACGCTCTTCTTTACCACCAAACCAGCCGCTCTGTCTTCTTGCCTGCATGCCTGAGCTGTAAACAGTTTACAAAACAATCTGAGCTAGAAGTAAATCAGTGCAACATAGTTTGTTCAAACCTGCTGTCTTTATTAGCTACAGGACAGCGTTAGCCTGGGATTATTTCTGGCACACAATGTGCCTGTTTGACATAAATATCGTGCCTTTTCTGCGGTTAATGGGTCACTTCTGGTGGCTGCGCTGGTTGTTTATATTTAGTAATTTAGGATATTGTGGTGGAAACATGCTTGAAGTGGCTTTGAGCCCTAGCTCCCGTTCTAGGTAGAGGTGGGGAAGAGATGCCAATTACATTGTGTCAGTAGTGGTGGAGAGCTATTGCCAGCTCAGCTTCAAGACAAGGCAGGCAGGTTTTGTGTTTAACATGTCAGCCTGTTTTGGTAGTCCCTCTGGTGCAGCTGGCAATCCCTGTTGGATTTCAGAGCTTCCCGCAAAGACCAGCACAGCATCTCACGGAGGGGGAGTGTTGTCTGTCCTTGCTTAAAGTGCAACCTCGAGTGCAAACTCCACAGGGCAGTGTGTCAAAATGGGGCAAGTCTCTTACATCCTCTTGCGCTGATGAGGTTAGACTGAAGATACACGACATTTGAAAGGAAACTTGGAGAGAGCTAGGAATTTCAAACAGGTTTATCTTTCTTTTTTAAGGTTGCACACAGAGTAGCATGTGCCTGCCTGATCACTCAGTTGACTGGTGGATTTGATGTGTGGAAATGGTTTAAAGACTAGTCTCTGGCTGTCTATAGAGTTCTTTCCTTCCTGTTTTCAGTTGAAAGAAATCAGGCTTATTTCCACTGCCTTTTAAAGAGAAACTAAATTTGAAATACGCACTCTGGTAGCAAAATTAAAAAATATATATATTTAGCAAGAAAACTTGTCTGTGCTTTTTATTACTATTAATAGTAGTATTCACATAGCCCTGGAGCTGCTGTAGTTTTCTAGTTTTTTTACATATAAACATTCCACTCAGAAATTTATAATCTGAACTTGTTTCCTGTTATCCTTGTAATACTTCAAAAACTCAGAGGACAAATTAATCTTTTCAGAGACTTCAGAATGCAGAGGACAAATTTAATTTTTTTTTTCCTAGAAGTTTAGTCTAGGGTGAAATTTAGTCCTGGAATATCAATAAATCATGTCAGTAATATTAATAAGAATATGCACTTCATTAATTTTCTTTGTTACATATGGCTTCTTGATGTGCTCTTGCATGTCAGCTACAGCTGCAATTCTGGAAATAGCTAGCTATGTATTTTTTTATAAGCACTATTTCGTAGAAGGTGACTAGCAAATTGGATGAACTTTCATTGTTATATTAAAGCCAAAGGGAATAGCCCAGTCATTAGTGTTGCTCCCAGAACATGGAGATAGCATTCATTATCATTTACAAGAAACCTTTCAAGTAATATTTGCTACCTGTAAAAGCAAATAAGAAAAAAGGATGTTCATCTCAGCAGAGGTGAACATTTAAGTTCACGATATTCTTTTCATAGGATGACACTATTACAACACTACTGGTTTAAAAGGATATTTCTAAATCAACAGCCATTTTTAAATAGAAACACTGTAGCTCAATGTAAGCCAAGAAGGTTCTGTTCCCCAAGTTCTCTTCTGGGGATCCATCCAGCTCTGAAGAGCCGTGATCTGGTGATCGTGACTCGCCTGGGTTGGGGGTTTGTGTAAAGAGGGTTGCATCACTGGCCAGCACTACAAACACCAGGGCACTGAGCAAAGAGTCGTTCCTCAAAACACACATACACCTCTGCCAGTAAGTGCCTTTTTAGTAAAAAATACTGTACACAGGGTTGTCCTGGAACACCCAACAGGTCCATGGAGTATTATTGCAGTTTCTAGCAGACATGCTGTGGTATCACCACCACATTAACTCTTCTCATTAACCACGTGAATTGGAGGAGGGTGTATGAAGGAAGAGAGGTTCTGTTTTGAAGAGAGAGCTTCTTTGATACCATTTTTGGAAGAAATTTAAGCTATAGTTTTGGTTCTTCATAAGGCTTTATTCAATCCTTATAAAGCGTCAGCCTGACTGAAATGGTTGCGAGCATGAGAGTAAAATCACATCTCATAACCAAGACGCCAATGGAGATTAACTTTTGCTGCCAAAATGCTTTCCTGTCTGTGTGTGTGTTTGCCAGGGTAGACTCCTCTGCATGCCAGTCCAAATTTGGACCGTTTTTGTTGATAAAAGTCCCCACGCACAACCTCTGCAGTGCAGACAAGGCCCTTGCTTACCAGATGGACAGTCACACGATCCCTGCCCTGAGGCAGCTGGTCATTTGGCAAGTAGCCGCCAGCCTGCTGGGGTGTGACATACACGAGTTGCTCATGGAGAATCCTCATGGAGACACCACCACCCAGCTCTCCTGGGAAAGCCAGTGGAAAGTACTGGAGCTGGGAGGGTCAAAGGCTGAGTGTCCAAGGGGAAATCCCATCTGAAGGCAGAATAAGCCTGGGGGTTTCCCATGATGGGGCTCTGCAATTGGCTTGGTGGCTCCTGCACCAGCCCTCTTCATCCAGTGCCTGACAGCCTCTGCACAGCGCAACCAGGGCTCTCCATCAGGAGCTGAAGAGAGCTTTGTGCCTGAAGGAGGACACCATAAATTACTGCAGAACATGCTGATTGTTTCAAAACAGATTTAGCACATATGTCACTTGATATTATTAATATTTAATTAAGATTTGTGTGAACTGAGCTGGGATAATTTGAGTTTCTAGCTCAGGAATAGTGAGACTTAGTTTGAGTTCCACTGTACCACAGGCTACTTGTAAGCCCTGGACAAAGGTTCAGGATGACTGTGTCCCTAACATCTGTAAGATGAGGGTGACTGAACTTCCCTCAGAAGTACATGGAGGGAAATTAAAATTACTGTATTAAAAGTTAGGATATTCCCAAAAGCAATGATAACAGCATTGGCTAGCATCCATAAGTGGAAATAAGTTGTTAATGATTTCAGTTTTACCTTAGAGAGATTTCTTAATGTCTGTAGGGAGAAGTTTGTGTTCTTCCAAATCTAATAGTGTTGGTGATGTCCTCATGGAGGAGATCCAATTCGGTGGAGCTTCAGCTCCTTGGGCCACGGCTGATTTGGGGCCAAACTGTTTAATAATTAAACCAGTCAGGTTAAACGGTTTTCATATTTTGCGAATCTCCATCGTTTACTAGAATTCTGACAACAGCAAGAATACAGGAAAAAGCCTAAACCAATACATTTTAGCTATTCTTAACTTTGCTTCCCGTAAAATGCTCCCCTCCATCGAGTTAGTCTTTGAAATGGAAGCTCAGAGCACAGTTTGTATCCCTTCATTGGTTCAGACATTGATATGAATGACTTTAGAAAAATGTGTTGGCTCCCACTTGGCAGATTTAATTTAATTCAGTACATTATGGTAATTTATAATGCTCAAGAAAATCACAGGATATAAGCACACTGAAATGTTAAAACTTTGCTAATATGAGAGCAGTGATATGCAACTTCCTATAAAACATCAGAAAGTATGTTTGAGTATTTCACTGTGATTTCAAGTAACATCATGCTGCATTCTCTTAAAAGATTATTGAAAACGTTCAGATAATATTTGAAAGATGTAATTTTTGGATTAAAAAAGGAAACCAGCAAATTAATATGTAAAATTGAATTATTTTAGTTCATTTACAATATCACAAGGCTATATTAATGGAATAATATTGGCTTATGCCTACAGTATTCATCTGATCTTTAATAAATCAAAACATTGCTTTTACTCAAAATTATTAATATAATGAACATAAATACCTTTCTTTTCACTTTTATATTAAAAGACCCAAAGATTTGCATATCCATCAGGCATCATCAAACTATTTAGAAAAATGCAGAAATCT